GAACACCAAAACTCACCTGTGACGCGTAGTTGGGCTCCAGCCTCAGCAGGCACCCAAACTTGCCGCCCGCCGTCGTGTGCAGCACGCTGGCGCCCACAAAGTTCTTCTGGTTCGGGTCGACGCCCGGCAGCAGCCCCCACCTGAAGCCCTCGAGCACCTTGCGGACGAAGCCGCCGTGCATCTCCCTGCCCTTGTCGCGGGCGCCCTGGGTCAGGCTGACGATCTGCTGCGCCTCGCGGGGCGCGCCGCCGATCTGCTTCCAGCGCTTGAAGAAGTCGTCGGCCGACAGGTCGGCCGGGTCCATAAACTTGTGCACCGCCACGGGGAGCTTGACCGTCACGGCCTGCAGCGCGCCCGCCAGGTAGCTGATGCGCATCGTCGGGCTCTTCTCGAACGTCCGCCGCGCCTGGAACATGATGACCTGCTGCGACTGCCCCTGGTGCGACAGCGTGCTCTCGGGCAGGCTCTTGACGTCCATGCCCAGCGCGTCCTTCTCGCCCTCGTCCATGTCCAGCGTCGTCGTGAAGGAGCTGACGGGCGCGGGCGTCTTGTTCATAAAGTACAGGATCAGGCACGCCATCTCGCCCCTGTACTCGGACCGCACCCCGACCTGCAGCTGCCCGTCCTCGAAGAGCACGCCGTCCGCCCGGAGCATCAGCCGGTTGTAGCCCTTCTCCCACCCGGGCGACAGGTGCGCCGCACTCGCCAGGTTGGGCAGCTTAGTCGGCTTCTCCATGTTGTTCATGTCCAGCCCGCTCAGGTCCGACAACGCTTTCCCATTGGCCCCGTTGGCAATGCCGTTGCCGTTGCCGTTGGCCTGAGGGGGTCCGTTGGAGCTGAATGTCCTTTTGAGGCCAGGATTCTTGACCATATTCAACTCGGACGCGTCCGCGTTGGCGTCCTTGCCGCCGACGACCCATGTCCGTTTGTCGCTGGTGTTTGCGTGCCTCTGATGCAGGCGCGACAGAAGCGCCGACTGTCGCTCCGGGAACGGTGGCATCTCGTCGCACAGCGTCCGAAGCAGGTCATCCGTCGGGAGGCTCGCCAGCGCCAGGTACTCGCACGCCCGCTGCTGGAGCTCCGAGTCCAACGTGTGGCTGTAGACGTCAAAGACGTGCACTAGCTGCGGCTTGATCTCGGGGAAAAGGTTGACAAACTTGACAAAGCACGAAAGGATCATGGCGCGCGTGAAGGACGATGTTGCCGCAAGCTTGCTCTCCAACGCCATGAACTGCTCAATCGGGCTGGAGCCCTTCTCCTCGGCGATCAGGTGGCCAAACTCGCCGAGTATGTACGTCCCAATCTTGACAAGCGTCTCGTGGCAGTGGTCCTGCCGCAGGTATTGCAGTGACGTCTGGGCGGCGTAGACCTGCAGCTCCTCGTTGTTTGTGACGATCTGAATCACGCGCTGCCAGACCTCATCACTGACGTGGTCGCCAGCCATGGCGATCAGCCGCAGCGATATGTCGACGTACCACTGCACGTCGGTGGCGTACTTCTCCGTCAGGATGGCGATCTTCAGCACCATCTCTTCACGGATGGCAAAGTCGGCATTCTGCAGGTAGTGCAGCAGCTCGCCGACAATGATCTGGGCGTTGGTCGAGTCGCACATGCTGTAGAGCAGGTCGAGACCCTTTCTCCTCACGCTGATGTCGCGATCCTTGAGCGAGCCCAGGATGACCTCCTGGTGCTGCTTTATGGGATCCAGCGTGTCGGCGCGGGAAGCGAGATGCGTCATGGCCTCGAGCCCCAAATAGCGGACGTTGGTTTCCCGAGACTGGATGAACCTGCCGAGTCTTGACGATATTTGCTTCATGAGTGCATGCTCCGTGTCCAGGTGGATGATGAGGTTGATAGCCTCAAAAAGGACCGCATTCTGGGCGTTGTTCTGCTGCACATTCTTGTTGGTTTCCAGAGCAAGATTGAGTATCTTCTGTAGCGACTCCCGTATCAGGTCGCGAACATGGCTATCCTCTGTCAAGGGAGGTAGGGTTAATAAGACTGGAGCCACGGTGAGGTTTTGGGCACTTGTTAGACCACTTGCCTGATGGAGGAAAGTACTGAAGCAACCTCAAGAGCTTCACCTGGATCCACGGACAGGGGACCTTGTAGTACAGGTAGTCGCCCGTGCAATCGCCGTCGATGACAACCTTCTTGAGCCTCAGGGCGGCCTTGACATAGGCACCCTTGTACTGGTCCGGGTTGTCCTGGGCCAGAGCAGCCACCAGAGATGCGACCGACAGCGCGACTCCGAGGTCAATATCGTCCATCATAGATATTATCCTCTCGGCCCATTGGGGCTGCACTATGTCGGGGTGCTTTCGGTACAAGCGCAGGAGGGTGAGGGCGGCCTTCTTCTTGACAAACGACTTGGATGTTCTGCGTCACGGCGGCATGTCAGCCATTCCATCCAGCTTCAGGTAGAGAACGAGGGCTGTGGAGGGCCATGTCGGTGCTTACGGCGATATTAATAACCTGTGGACTTCTCCGCTGAGGGCCTCGCCCATCTCCCTCGAGCCGACGTTTGCAATGGCGTGCAGGGCGAGGCAGTTAAAGAGCTCGTTGTGGTCGAGCAGGTCCTTGCGTATGCTGTTGACGACGAGGTGGAGCAGCTCGTGCTTCTCGTGCAGGAACAGCGTCATGGCCAGGTAACCGATCTGCTTCTCCGAGTACTTATTGGCCGAGATGAGGTTGACGGCCTCGAGGTGGCCAAAGTCGACGTTCCAGCCGAGGATGTAGATGTAGAGCAGCTTGCAGACGTATTTCTTCTTGTGGTAGCCGCTCAGGCTGCCGTCCTTGAACTTTTGCCTGATGTTGGCCAGCTCCTTGTTAATGCGCTTCTCCTCGAGCTCGCGCGCGCGCGCGTTGCGGAGGTCGGCGATGAACTGCACAAGCCCGCGCATGTTGGCATTGCTGCTGCTCGAGCGGCCGAGGAAGCCGGCCGCCGTGGACGCCATCTTTGCCCGTGGCTACCCGCGGTGGGTGCGCCGCTGGTCGTTCGTTGCCTTGATCGGGGTGCGGTTCGTATGGGCAGTCTTGGCCGCAGCCGTATGCGTCGTGGCCCCTTCGGAACGCTGGAGCGGCAGAAAAAAAAAAAGAAAAAAAAAGACACGCGACCTCCGTCTTGCTCTGTTCCTGACGAGTGGTGGGCGGCTTCTACCACCAGTCAACCACTGGCGTTGCAAAAGGGAGCTGCGCGCTGGTGCTACCCTCGAATCGTTGCACAGAATCTGGGGAAGAGCTCTAATAGATCCGAAGACTGCAGGGGTGTGGGTGTGGTTCGGCGGGCGGCGTCGGGTCGTGGGAGCTGGCGGCTGGCGGCACAGCGATGAGGCGGTCGGCGGATCGAGGGGTTGCGGGAGCGGCGCGGCTTGATTCGGGTCCTAACGGGCTCTCTGAGCACTAGGCAAGGTCATAGTCGCGCGGAAGAGAATGAGAGTGTTGTTTTTAGCTGCAGGTGGGCTGTCCTGACAAGCTGTGGTAGTCACGGGCAGCAACGACGGGATTTACGCTCGAGTCCCAGAGTCCTGGACAGACCGAATATCACACGACGGCGACGCAGTGGTTGGAAAGTGGAGGTGGAGTGCCCCTTGAGCCCGGCTTGGCTGGACCTGAGAGCCCCTGTAAATGCTGGGCGGGCCGTCAGAGCGTTAGCCCCATCTCAAATTCGACCGCCGCGCCATGAAGCACTAGCCACACACCGACTGGTGCAAAGGGCAAATGTGGCTGAGCTCAATGAGAGAAATGACGTCCAATTCTCTCGTTCATCTCAACCCCCAGCTCCGTCACATCTACACGCCAATGCTTCGGCGACCCGGCTGCGGATAATGAGACCGTATCTGCCCAGACTAGCTGCGACCCCGTGCTCGGTCGCGCAACGCTGGGCCAGGCGGTCGTACGCCTTCCAGGCCGCGGGCGCCCCCGTCTTCGAGGTCTTCAACCGCCGCACCAAATGGCTGCAGAAGGAGAGGGCCGCCGCCGACGTCGAGGCCAGCCGGCAGGCCGACTACCTCAAGGATGAGGTTGCCATCCGGCTGTGCGAAAGACTACTGGTACGGACGGACAGGGCCCGCGTCTTTTCTCGTTTCGAAAGTTGGGACAAAAAGGAGACCTTCCTCCTCCCCATGCACGTCAGCTGACACGGACACGTGCGCCCACGCCTGCTGGGAATAAAAAAGGACTTCAGCCGGCACTTCCCCAAGGCGCTCGACTTTGGCGCCAACGCCTGCAACGTGGCCAAGGCGCTGGCGCGCGAGAACCCGGACCCGGACCCGTCGCGGCCCACGTCGCCGCCGCTGGCCCGGCGCGTGTCGCACCTGACGGCCGCCGACTCGTCGCGCGCCATGCTGCACCGCGACGCCGGCGAGGCCTGGAACTCGGAGCTGGACATGTCGCGCGTCGTGCTGGACGACGAGGAGGGCACGCTGCCCTTCGAGCCGGGGTCCTTCGATCTCGTGCTCAGCAGCCTGAGCCTGCACTGGATCAACAACCTGCCCGCCGTGCTGGGCCAGATCAACAGCTGCCTCAAGCCCGACGCGCCCTTCCTGGGCGCCATGCTGGGCGGCGACACGCTCTTCGAGCTGCGCACGAGCCTGCAGCTGGCCGAGCAGGAGCGCAAGGGCGGCATCTCGCCGCGCGTGTCCCCGCTCGCCGACGTGCGCGACGTCGGGGGCCTGATGCAGCGCTGCGGCTTCAAGATGCTGACCGTAGACGTCGACGACATCATCATCGACTACCCGGACACGTTTTCGCTGATGCAGGACCTTCAGGCCATGGGCGAGGCCAACGCCGTGCTGGGCCGCGAGATGGGCGCCATCGGCCGCGACCTGTTGCTTGCCAACGACGCCATATATCGCGAGCTGCACGGGAACCCGGACGGCACCATCCCCGCGACTTTTAGGATCATCTACATGATCGGATGGCGCGAGGGGGCGAATCAGCCTCAGCCGCTAGCTCGTGGCAGCGGCCAAGTAAACCTAAAGGATATCCTGGAGAACAAATAGAGCAATCTGAATGGGAATCGGGGGTCTCTTGAATCCCATATGCAAGCAATACTGGACCTTTCATGGGCTTTTTGTATTCGTTCTGTCGGTAGTACATCATATAATTGAGACCGCCGCTTGTAAAAAAAAAAAAAAAAGACACAAGATAATGCTGCAACGCCTTCCCGCCTGTGTATATCAGCTCGTAGCGCCGCTGGAAGCCTCTCTCACACCCTCCTCCAGTCGGTCATGACACGCCCTATGCAGCCGAGGCCGGCCACGTCGATGACCTTTTCGTGCCAGCTGAGGAGGACGCTCATGCCGGCGCCCGCGGGCTCGTTGGCGGCGCCGGGCCGGCCCGACATCTGGCTGAAGCCGGTGGGCTGCGGCGTCATCTTTGTCGGGGTCCTGGCCTCCTTGATGGACGAGGACGCAGCCATTCCCTTGTATCTATTGTAGAAAGGCGGAGCCGTCAGCGTTAGTTGACAGGGGAAAAAAAAGGGTGAGGACGGAAAAGTGAGAGGAAAAGAAAAACCCCCAAGCAAAAAAAACAAAAAAAAAACGCACATGTACTTCATCAAGACGTCCAGCAGCTCGCTCCCGCCCTCGGACCCGTAGATGCGCGCGAGCATGGGCGACATGTCGCTGGCCTTGATGGACTGCAGCACCTCGATGACGGCGCCCAGGTGCGCCTCGCGGGCGGCGGGCTCGCCGGCGTAGACGGGCGCCTCGAGGCAGCCGCGCAGCGCGCCCTCGGCGTCGCCGCCGCGCAGCAGCTGCCGCACCTGCTGCGCCACCTGGCGCGCCTCGGCCTCGGACACCTCGGGCTGGGGCGGCCGCAGCGTCGCCGTGTCGAAGTTGGCGCAGCTGTCCTCGGTCAGCGCGTCGATGTCGATGGTCCGCCACGCGTCGCTGAGCGAGGCCTCGGTGTGCTGCTGGATGATGGACATGTCGGGCAGGGCGGGCGAGGGGCGGGGCGTTTGTCGTTTTTTTTGGTCGTCGGTGAAGGGGAGGGGGGCGGGAGCTGTAGGAAAGGAGGAAGGCGATGTGGTACTCGTCAATCCGGCTCGGTGAGGGCGGTAGAAAGAATGGAGGGTTGGGGGGATCGTGCGGCTTTGTCGTCGTTCCCTCGCTCCAATCGTCGGGTGGTCAGTCGGGGTCGGTTGGGTCGTGCCGCGGCGTCTTCATGGAGCTGCCTCTGGCTCATCGTCATCCCGTGTGGCAGCTGGGCAGCACTGTGGGGACCAGCTTGGATGGCGGGGCCAGAGGCAGGGGAGCTGGGCCGGACCCTAACCCTCAGCCCATCGTTGTCGAGACTAACACCTGTAACAAGAGGCGACATCGCTTGGTGGTATGTTTTGAACACCCTTTTTACAGCAAATCAAACAAGCCCAATCAAGTAGCAGACAGCGCGTAGTATACATGGGTACTACAGAGATTTAAAGGTTCAAGCAACAGATAGGACGAGCACACTCCCGTCTGAAACACAAGACATCAGAGATCTATTCCAGTCAAAACGGCTCGTCTCCCACGCCCAAACCCAACGAAAAACATCAGCCCCACAGGGGCGCCGTGATCTCGGCCGCCCGCTCAACCACGACCCGAACCCGGTCCCCAAACGCCTTGTTAGAACACTCGACCTCGAGGTCTTCTAGCCATACCTTGGCGTTGAGCTTCTCGTCGATCTTGATGGCGACCCCGGGCACCGGGATCCCGATCTTGTGCAGCCGCGCCAGCTCCGCCCGCCGCCTCTCCTCCAGCCGCTTGGCCTCGTTGCCTGCCGGCTTCCCCTCCTCCATGGACTCGTCCGCGTCGCCGCCGCTGCCGCCTTCGCTCTTTTCCCCCTTGGCTTCTTCCTCACCCAGCGGCGGCAGCTTCGGTTCCTTGATGGGCTCGACGTGGTCCGCGCCGAACTGCGCCTCCAGGAACATGAAAAGCCTCTCCAGCCGCTCTTCCGGGCTGAGATGGGCGTGCAGGTTTCGTGTCGGGAGGACGAACGAGTCGTCTTGTGAGTGCGAGTGCGAGTGTTTTCTTGAAGAGCCTGTTGGGGCCGAGTGGCAGTGAAGCCGTTAGCAGTAGTCCCGTATTAGGTGTGTAATGCCATAGAGGTCGCATATGTGTTGGAACTTACGCTTGACAGCAGCAGGGCTGCTCTCCACTGTGAGGAGCACAGCCATGACGGCATCGGCGAACCCGTCGTTCAGCATGTTGCCCTCCCACTCGAGCTCCAGCTCGCCACTAGCGAAACATCTGACGTTGACACAGCCCATGACCAGGTATCCGGCTACGGGCCTTTCCACCTCCTCGTCGGCAGCCTCCATATTCGTGTCCCCGTCGGCGTCTGGCTCCGCCTTTGCCTCTTCGCCGTCCTGCTTCTCGTCATCCGTGGCGCCATCAACGTCACCCGGTGCCTGCTTCTGCCGGGCCAGCTTCCGCATCTCGGGGAGTTCGTCGATGGCGCCAAACGTGCTCTCGAGCGCCCACTTGATCAGGTCCACTCCCGCGGCGCTGAGCCTGATGCGCTGCCGGCAGACGATGGTGGTCGTCGTCAGGCCGGCGTACTCGCGCAGGTCCTCGGGCGCCATCAGCGATAGCTTGAAGTCGTTCTGCACCAGCACACCCGTAATGAGTCGTTGCTGCTGTTGCTGTAGTGGGCCGTCGAGACCCCCGTCTGCCGGAGGGAGCTTTGTCGGAGGAGGGATGGCTGCTAGTTTCCCCACAACCTTGGCCATCTTGTCCGCCTTGAAAGGGATGCGCAGCTCCTCGCAGTTCCTCGGGCTAAAGACCTTGACCTTTTCCGTCTTGTTTGCATTGAGTGACAGTAGCTTCGACTTTAGCCTCATCATATTGTTGACCTCTCCATGGACGAGGATCTAGGTAGAGTAGTGGTGGTTAGCACATGTTTATTGCAAACGCGCTGGCTTGCAAATTCCACACTTTGCCCAAGGAGGCGATGGGCTTAAACTCACCACAACTGGAGCGTTAACCTCCTCGATGAACTCCCTATTTTCAGTGCCGTCCACATGGGCGGCAAATGAAAACTCGGCAACACTGCAGCGCCGCGGAATCATGAGCTTCTCGCCGTCAGCCCTACGAGATGCCGCCGCTGCATTCCGCGTCATCACGGCGTGGATCTGATCAGGCTCCTGCATGATCTGCTTGGCCATGGTACCCTCGACGCTGTAACCCGTGATGACTACTCCGTTCTTGTCGCTCGGCGCCCAGCGCTCCAGCAGCTCGCGGCTGACGCCCGTCTGCAACATACCGGGGCTGGCAAGCATGACGCAGGGGCCAAGGTCGTCGAAGCGGTCCAGATTCTTGAGCGAGCGGATGAACTTGAAGTCCCAGGGCCCGCCACCGGTGCCGACGTTGCCCGCGGCCTCGGCCTCGGCCAGGCGCTCGCGGAACAGGCGCTTAATGTTGTCATTCATGGCGCCGACGTAGGTCTGGTAGACGACCATGCACTTGCGCGCCAGGTTACTGGCGTAGTAGATGGGCACCTTTTGGTACTCGGAGTGGCGATCCCAGTACTCGTCCAGGATTAGTAGCAGCTCTTGGGCGCGGCCGAGGGCGAAGACGGGCATGAGCACACGGCCGCCTCGGTTAAGGATGCCCGTGATAGACTTCATGAGGGCTTGCTCACGCTCCATGCGGGGCACGTGCGACGCGATGCCGTATGTCGACTCGGTGATGAGTACGTCGATCTGGACGCCCCGCGGCACCTCAGCCGAGACGAGATGCCTATCTTGCTCGCGCGAGTAGTCGCCCGTGAAGAAGACGTTGAGTCCTGCAATCTCGATCAGAAACATTGCCGCGCCCAGCACGTGGCCGGCCGGGTACGGAGTGATGCGGATCGATGAGATAGTGTGTGTGGTGTAGTAGTCGATGGCCTCGATCTGGGGGAACGTGTTGAGATGGTCCTGTTCTGTGTAGACAGGCTGCGATGTTGGGTTCGACGATGTGTTGCCAACGCGGACGCTATCTTGCATGAGCCACTTGTAGATGGCCTTGGTCGGATGTGTCATGAAGACGCGACCCTTGAAGTTGGTCTTTGCCAGGACGTACGGCAGAGATGCCGCATGGTCGATGTGGAAACTATTGGGATTTGGGCCAAGAGGTCAGTGACATCCAGTCAAGACGTGGCGCGCAAGAACGGACTGCAGGCAATGTGCGGGACGGGACGATCTCTCTGGGTGCTGGGTGCAGCCTAGCTGCCTACCTCGCGACCAGAGGGGTGGCAACAAGCTGATCGACGACGGCAAGCTAGGCGGCTTCTTCACAGGCGCAAGGGGCTGGCAAAGGTGGAAGCGGGCGACAGGGTATTGTACGTATGTATTTGATTTCTTTGTACATGGCGATATCTGACTGACGGAGCCCCGTTCATGCTTGTGTCTTTGTGCCACCCAACGTGGGTGCGGCTGCAGAGCATGAATGACAGCATAGCGACGGACGGGGGTCGCGACGCCATCAAGTCGTCTTGCCCATCGCAAGCAAGCTCTTATCCAGGTCTCAAGCCAGCCATACAAGCGTTGGCCCCACCTCCGAGGCCCTAGTGTTCGTGCAGTATACCACAACAATGCCACCCAGCAAGGGCAAAGCGAGAGAGGGGGAGCCACGAGGACGCGAAGGAAACGGTCGGGTGCTGCTTACTGGCTTATCAACAGCACATCTACGGTGCTCAGGTCGAAGTCATCAAAGAACGGCAACGCAGCAAGACCATCGTATGCGGGATGCTGGCCGGCATCGAGCTATGGTGGCAGCAAGATTAGCAACCGCTGCGTGAACAGGCCGGCGCGAGTTGTGGGATGTGGCAGGTACCTACCATGACGGTCTTGCCCCTGTATTGGATGATATGGCAGGACCGGCCGACCTCGTTGCCACCACCGAGACAGGTAAAAATCAGCTCGTCGGCGGGGTCAACAGGCTCGTCGGGGGCGGCAGTTGCCATAGCCGAGGCTTTCCTTTTGGAAGCCATGCCTGCAGCTGTCGTGCTGTCGGCCGCGCGGCGCCACACAGAGGCCGGCTATGTAGAAGGCGCCTTCGAGACTAGGATCGAGGCCTGTCAAGTGATGCGAGATACTGTTGCCCTAGGGCTCTCCTTCGAGATCAGCGGTATGCCGGCCAAACAGTGCTCGCTCGCGAATGGACTTCTACTGCGCAGAGGAACACGCAGTTCCCAGGAGTTAATTGACGACTGATTAAATATGCGCTTTTAGAGCCTGGACACAAGCCGCGCTCAACTTCCGCTTTGTTTGTGTTGGTGTCAAACGGCGGCAGAGAGGCTGCGATGCGACAGATCGAGCTCCTTGCTTTGAAGTCCCATTTGGGCGAACGCGAAACTTTGGTTGCTGTCGAAATTAGGTAGAACGCGTTCCGGTCGGCATGCAAAAGTGGAGCGCTCTGCCGGCCGGGGCAAAACGTTCCATCCAGCAAAGTTAAAAGTGGGACAGGCGCGACGCAAAACGCAACCGCCACTCGCTGCACGTGACGTGGAGCAGCCTGCGGCTCCGCCAGGCGCCTTTCGCGAACTTGAGCTTCTTCTCATCGTTTTGGCCGTTGTGAAAACGCCACCCGAGCCAACGAACAACGACCACAACGGACGACGCATCGCGTAACCGCGACTAACGCGCCTACATTTACGAGTAGCGAGCCCCAAGAATCACAATTTATACTGACAGAAGCTTCGAAGACCGCGGTCGGCCGATGGTGGCCGCCAAAGGAGGCTCGCTGTGGCTGCACGGGCAGCTTGCCTGAGATTGGGGCGCTTGGAGGAGGAGCGCCAGAACCATCGCCCTGCCATCCGCGCCACGATCGTCCCCATCGCCCAACAGGACCGGAGCCCACGCCCGGAACTCTCGCAGCTCCCGCCGCCCGACATGGCGCAGCCACAGCACCAGCAGCTGCCGCTGCCTTCCGCGCCGCCGCCGCGGCCCTACTCGCCCGCCCAATTATCACCCGCACTGCCCAACTCACAAGCTCCCTACAGCGGCAATCCCCCTCCCAAGCGACAACGCACCTCGCCGGGCCCTGGATCGTCGCAACCAGGTTCGCCATTCGTCGCGTCGCCCTCCTATATGCACAGCCCAGGCGCCATGGCAACACCGCCGCCAATGTCTAACGCGCCCTCACCCGTACCGTATCCCAACCACATCGCCCTCCCGCCCAACAACCTCGTGCAACAACCCTACATCAACGGAAACGCTCACAACAATGGCCTCCCCCTCAACCACTCCATGCAGTCCCTCTCGCCCGGGCTGACCATGCCCGGCCGCACACCGGGCACGCCGCCCGTGATGTCGCCCTCCCAGATCCTTCCAGTGCCGTCCCAAGCGACGACCCCGCTGACACCGGCGCCGGCTCCCTCACCCTACGCGACAACTAATGCCACCCTGGCACCTATGTCGCAGGTGCTAATGCCCACAGGCGCCATGGGGCCACCTTCCAAGCCGGCCGAGCGGCCCGTCAAGGAGGTGCAGTACGACGTCGACGATTCGCTCGCGGGAACAGGCATCGACCTTAGGGAGGAAGAGCAGTTCATGGCGCAGTTCTACGCCGGCAGCACGAGGGCCGAGGCCAGGACCGGTTTCCCTGCCAACACACCTGGAGCCGCCGGGTCCATGTATGGTGCCGGACTTGCCAACCAGCCGGCTCAGGCCATCTCGCAGGACCAGATACAGTTCGAGGTCGAGCAAGCCAAGGTGGCTTGGCAGGATGCAGCGGCAAAGCTTTCTGTTGTCCGCGGCCACGAGGTCAAGAATCCATTTAGTAACCTTGCTGTCCTCCACGGGCGGGCACACCGGATTGCCAACGAGTATGGCCTCGGCCTAGTCTTGGACGTCAAAAACGGCGGCATGGGCAAGATGAAGCTGGGTGATGAGTTCCCGGAGCCTTCGGTTGATGTCATCACCAAGGTCGTGGGCCCAGATGCTGTCGTGTCCACCACCAAGTCCTTCCTGCCTGTCGAATCGTTCCTGGCCGAACAGATCGGGCTGTTGTCCATCGCGACAAAACATCGGCTTAGGCAACTGGTCGAGGATGCCGACAGGGTCGCGCGCACGCGACAGCAAACGTCTCATGGCGTTGCGCCACCTGAGTGGGTCGATGTGGCCGTACCGATAAAGACGGTGGATGCTGGCCTGGCTCTTGAGATGAGCAGTCCGGCGCCGGGGGACGAGCACGGAGCCGACCCTGGCGTCAACCCACTTAAGCGTAAGTGCTCGTTATCGCACCCTTTCCTGTACAACTCATCTGACGCATACATTCAGGCTCGTTGGATGCGAGCGAGTCGGACCCTGCAGCAATATCGGCTAGTGGCAAGCCAGCGACTGTAGTCAGCGGTCCAGGGGCCAGCTTTAATCTCAGCGCCGCGCTGCGCGAGACTAGTAAGTCGGAGCGGGATTCGGAGGAAGCCAGGCTCAGGAAACGCCAAAAGCGCGCCGAAGACGAGGAGCGCAAGAAAAAGGGCGGTGACGCGGCGGCATCAACGGCCGGGTCAAGAGCAGGGTCGGTGGCTCCAGGGACACCGGGCGGGGCCGACGCGGACGCGCCGCCGCCCGTCAAGGTGCCGACCAAAAAGGAGCTGAAGGCAAAGGCGGCCGCGGCCCAGAAGTCGCTTGACTCGATGAACACGGCGACGGCGAACTCAACCACGCAGCACTTCCTCGACTCCCTGTCGCGCAAGAAGAAGGGCAAGCGCACCTACAGCTGGATGGGCGCGGGCGCGGGCAGCGGGGCCTCGACACCGCGCGGACCCGGTGGTACGCCTGCCACACCTGGCGGCCTGGCAGCCGGGGCGGCGGCGGCGCTGGGGCGCAATAAGGTGCCCGAGGTGGCGGCCCTCACCCAGGATGGCAGGTATAGGCACGGCGATTTCAGGGAGAACGGCGAGAAGGGCAAGAACATCCAACTCCGAGACTGGATCCAGGTCCTCGAGAGGGAGCAGCACCTCGAGTTCCGGGCCCTACAAAAGGCATACCTCATGCTCGACTCCTCGGCGCCGAAGTAGTACCAGAGGCGCCGCAGGAGTAGTTCGAACCTCGGCCAGTAGCGGCACATGTCTCTGGCATGTCCCCTTGCTGGTATTGGTCGGACGTGGCATGCGGGGTTTTGCTGCTTACGCTTCCGGAATCCATTGGAAGCGCAGGCGGCCGGCCGGTGCTCGTGCAACACGCCACAACCATTCCCCGTCGGATCTCGCTGAGAGCCCTTCTCCCATTTTTATTTACTTAACTCACTCGAGGCCACCACAGTCGTGGCGTGTTGTATCGACTTTGCATCAGACGAGAAATCCGATCCAACCCTGCATCACCCCGGACGGCAGTCCTCGCTAAAAAAACAAAAGTTCAAAAACATCAGGCAAATTTTGATAAGCCAGGCGTTATTTACGGCAGGTGGGGAGACGGCGTCTCAGCATTGTTTTAGAATCGGGAGTTACTCATCAGTCGCGTCTGCTCTTTCTGCCTGTCTAGAAGAACGATTGATTATTCACAGTTTCTTTATTACTTGTTTTGACCTCCACATACTCTTCTCCACCCCTTAATGCCTTTGATTGCTTGCTGCCTCTGTTACCTCTTTTTTCTTCTTTTCTTTCTTTCAGGGAAGGGGTTCTGCAAACCGCACTGTTGGGCTGACGGCTTGGTTTTTCGGGTTTTTGCGGTTCCGCTCTTCTCTATCTGATGAACACCACTACCCCGGAATTGCGCGGCAGCCCCAAGAAATGCATTTGGAGGGAGGTCACTGTTGGTAATATGGTTGAAAGGAGGCCGGCTGTCTGCATCGGGATAATCAGTCAATCACACAGTATGAACGAATGCCTGGCAGGCTCTGATATGTGCCAAACTTGACCGGCGTTTGTGGTCTCCATCCTGTCTTGATGAACTTCTCCATGCGCGGCCAGCTAGGCCTGTCCCTGGCAGTGGGCCAGCTCCACGACCCTCACCGTGTTCTCTTGATTGCTGACATAGTCGTAGTCTTGTACTCACGGCCCGTTTGTCACCTCCTCTTCACACTTTGCCGCGATATACTCTCTCGAACACCCATGTCAGCCAGGGGCACCGCCACCGCGGCCACCGGGAGGTATCGGTAGGGTATATGTCATGTGGTCCCATCACATGGGGCAAGAGTGTCGTCATCCACGGCCCCGCAAACCTGTCGACTCCCTCCCTCGCTACTTTCAAGGTCAAGATCGAGATCCACTAGCAGCAACCGCACCCTCAAGCTCAGACGTGGTCACCTTCACCGGGGTGACGTGTCCGAGGAGAGCTGCCGCTGCAAGGGGTGCCGCAAGCTTTTTGAACCGCCAGCCCACGCGTGCTTGGCCTACAGCGCCCTTGCTTTGCAGACCCGTGGGTAATATCCTGGACTGGTGAGCGAAGTTTGTTTATGCGGTAGCTTTTCGGCTGCCGCGCGCTTCTGTCATGGGACCCGTCCAAACGACATACGGCTCTTGGGGATCATCGGTTTCGACATCCAATCCGCTGGCCTGTTTCTATTATTCACCTTGTTAAACCCTTTCTGTTCCATAATCTTTGTCTCTGTGCTCTGTTTTGCACCACGGAGCCACTCGCCATGAGATCTGTGCCGGGTTTCCTTAACGGAAGTCGACAGGACTTGCACCAGATATCCCATCAATAGAACCTCCCCGCGTACTCGTCCGGGAAACAACCTAGGTAGCCCGAGAGGCTAGCCCATGCCGAGCCCACATCTGCGCATAATCTTGAAGCCTATCACACCTTTGGATAGCGGACATCCTAGCCAATATCCCCAGGCGCCAGTTCGTATTCTGTATCGCGCCATACCACATCCACTCCGCCCCTCACTCAGCTTTTGAGGCGGGCTGGTCGGCATGGGCGAAGGGGATGAGGGATTGCCAAGGCCGGCTACGTCGGACAGAGGGCTCAACTCCAGTACGGATTAAAAGAATATATAAAAAATAAAAAATATAAAAAAAACCGCCCCACGGCGGCGCCCCAGAGCATAAACATGGCCAAGCGCTCATTGGAGGGCACATGCATGCTGTACACGTATGCAACGTCGCTCCCTCATCTCGTCCCTCACGTCATGCAGACCACTCAGGGTGCCAGTGCGCTGGAACGCCCCCATGGAGCTGCCTAAACTGGCGATGGTGACGAGAAGTTGGCTACCTACCCATCTAGGTATACTATCCTGCCATCTCGGCCGATGACGTTAGCCCTAATATGTGTGCCGTGCATAGCCGCTGCCTGGTACCTACCCCTACCTACGCGGGCAGGTATATGCATTCACTATGACATTTCCCATTCTATTTCAGACCACGCCGAGCCCAAGCCTGCTCGGCACTGTCGTGTCCCACCACTCATCACCCTCTGTCGCCCTCCTTCCCCCTCCCAAGAGGAAGAGAGTTTCTCTTCCCCACCCCCGCAAGCGTTCCCCTGGTCCATATCACACCACCCACGGCTTTGGCTTCATTCGGTTCGTATGTCCCCACCGTCTTCAATGGCTTGTCTCCCCATGTCTTAGGTCAAACATTTGGCCGTCTTGCTCCGGCAGTCCCCGCCCCGTCCGTCCCACAGCCTTGGCGTCGATCAAACACCGACAGGCGGCCTTGAGGGGTGGATATTAATTACACCCCCAATGCTTGGCTGCGTCACCCGCAGATAATAGCTATATGCCAATAGTCCTACTACCTGTCAAATGACCTGTCAAATATGGCCGATGTCAGACTGAGGGGTGGCATATTAGCTTTTTTCCCTCTCGCTTCGCCGCACCTGTACATTTCAGCAGGACGGGCGGGGGCGGCGGCTACTCGGTAGTTCAACGTCTGGGCTGCAAAGGGAGAGATGATAAAACCAGGTGTATCCTGTCTCGCTGGGCAAGATGGATGCTAGGCAGACCAAGTCACACTCTCCCGTCTTCGCCAGAGTTCCAACCACATCGCCGCCAATCATCTTCTCTTCCGCTTGCTAGATTACACTCCCTGCATCCGCCGGCCAATGTGCCTCGTTACGTCGTGACAGCAGGCCTCCAGGGAAATCGTAACAACCTTGATCCCTGTAGGCTACCCCCAACGGCGCCTCTCCTCATGTGTGAGCCCCTTCGCACGCCAGGATACATGTGGCTGACTCGAAAACTTGCCAAAAACTGTACCTATGCAGCAGCAGGACTGGAGCCATGAAGAGCTGCGGAGCCTCCCTGTCTCCGGGCGGGAAGCCCTACCCCAAGCCTCAGCCAAGCCCGCCGCCGCCGCACCCTGCAGGGCCAGACGAATCCTAGACGCGCCACTCTCTCCTTGCTGCTGTGGCGAGGAGAAAGAGCGGGGAGGTGATGCCCCTCGTTCCGCAGTGTGGCTAGCCCGGCAGACGTCTAGTGCATGGAAAACTAGAACCGGGTATCGGATGGTCGAGGCGCCCGCGTGTGGATCTGCAACGGGCTGGCCCGTGCAACGACACCCCGGCGCCGCGGATCTCGGGGAGCTCACTGGCAGCCATGGCTACCGCTTATGACGTCAGGAGAGCAGGGAGGACTTTGTGATCATAAGAGTGTTATTCTGTTACTTTTCTATTTCCCTGCGTCCAGATGTCTCTTTCACTCGCTCCTCTCGGCTGCCTGGTCACTTCCTAGTCCGCAGAGCTCTGGGGAATAATGCTGGACCGTACCCATCGAGAAACGAGCAAGAAGCGCATCCTCATGTATTTTTCTGCCCTCGCCCCTGCTCGCGTCAGAGCACACATCTCCTCCGCCATATCGAAGTCTGCAACACCCAATAAATATCCCGAATCTTGGCCTGTCCTGTGTGTATAATACACTGACCATGCACCTCCTCCATAGGCCCCTTCCTGCGTAGGCAGTTGTCTCCCAGTAGATGGCGACAATCTAGTAGTGACGTCAGGGGCTTCTTTGAGGCTGCTCTTGCTCACGCGTGGCGATCTCCAGCTTGCACCTGAGTATGGGCGTCTACCACCTACCGATCACACAGGCATTGACCTGACTCTATGCCTAGATAAGGTACATTGGGAGGTACCTTATGTTTGAATCGCCCACGGCTGGCGCTACTGTATCGTAGTGTAGTCGCTGTGTGGAATGGGTGCTTCCTTCCTGAACGGCAACTCAAGTGGACCCAGACACCTCGAGCGCATCAGAGGGGCACGTACTTGCCTGCCGAGCGGTGCTCTCTCTTTTTTTTTCCAGCGGCAAGCATAGCTGGATTGCGCGAGGCACGACCAAGTAGAAAGGTCGGGGCCGACGAAGCTTCGTGTGGGCAAAAGATCTCAGCTCCTCCCTCAGATCTCCCTCAGTTCCTGCCTCAGATCCTAACAAGCTCCTCCCTCAGATCTCACCCATAACACCACAACGCGTCCTGTTTGGGCAAGCCCGTATTGCTACTGCCTCCTTCTGGTCACTTTCCCGGCTGAGCTATCGTCCTTCCGGCCATCCAAGCCTCCTTCCTCCACCCCTCGATTCGAGCCCAGCTGGTGGCCCACCCCTCCGCTCCTACCGAGTCTTTCGGTTCTTGGACTGTATGCTTCGTCCTCCCATCCGACGCTTGAGCCGGGCTCGTCCAAACACAAAAACCCATTCTCTCCACATCCAGATCTTGTCTTTCTTTCTCCCAACACTCTTTGGACTTTGGAGCGACAGCAAGTCGCAGAAACGCGTCCGACTGACCCCCACCTGACAGCAGCCTGACAATAGTCTCGGCCTGTTTTGCCAGACGGCGGCCGACCATTTTTGGTTCGATTTTGGAGGTAAGAGACATCTGATTGCAATCTGAAGCATGCGCCCGAGCACCCTCGCGTCTTGCCCGCCCTATTCTACTGATGCCCGCCAACACACCGCCTTGTCTGCCACCCCATCTCGCCCGAATCTCCTCCCCATCACCAATCCGACATCTTTGTATCTTCTTTAGGTTCTGGGGCCTGCCATTTGCCGCACCATCAAGTCGGCAATTCTACCTACCTCTGTCACTACCCATGTACCCATTGCCTTCTGTCCCATCACTATCACCAACACCATCATCTAATCTGCACCTACACCATGGCGCTTTTGGCCCGCAAAAAGGGCAAGAAGCTTCTCGCCCAGCTTTTTGAGCTCCAGAAAGACGACGTCGACATAACAATCCCTACTTTTATATCCGTCAAGTTCTATCTCAAAGACAAGCCGCGCTGCAACAACGTCCAGGTTTCGCCAAGCGGCGACGAGCCCAGCTTGGGCATCATCGACCGCGCTCACCTGCCCAGATTTATCCTTTCCCAACTCGAGGCACAAGGCATTGCTGACGAACATACGGAGACTGTGCAACTGTACCCAGTTCTCTCCTTCATTCTTCTGTCACTTCCGGCTCGGCCCTTGAAAAAGACCGCCTGCTTCCCCACACTGTTCTGCTGGCACTGCTGCCACACCCGCCGGACTCGTCTCCTTTTCGGCTACCTCGACGTCGACATGCTCTCCCGGTCATACACGCCCGCCGAGCTTCTTGCCCTGCGAGCTTCGAGGTCCATTGAAGGAATCCTCACCGCCGGACGGAACGACCCCGAGCTGGGTAGGTACCATCTACTCCCACACTCCCCTCACACCCCCTCACATCCCGCCCACAATGTGAAGAGGAGCTACCCAGGTAGCGGCTATCACCATCTTCATCTGACTTTCTACTAACATTTCTCCACTCTGATCAGCCAGCATTATCGTCGCTCCCAGAGAGAGATCTGTCAATACCCTCGGGGTTGTCGGTTCTGCGAGCACGATGAGGCCGACCCAAAAGACCAGCAAGGATGGCTCGTCCGCCGAGCCTGATGAGGTGGTTTTCAAACGCCGCCTCGAGCATCAGTTCCCGGTGATCGACCCGGCCTGGAAGCTCCGTGGGCGAGGAGGCTCCGAGGTCGTTCCCAGCATCGGACAGCAGTTTGACAAGCAACCAACCAATGCTCCCGGCGAGATAGCCTCTCAGCACCACGAGGGATTCCAGCGCTTCTACAAGACCGTTGTGTCTCCCACTCATGTACGGGTCACCGCAGGCGGGCGCATCGTGCCCAACACCCGAGGCATGCTGTCTCCCACGATCAAACGTCCCAGGGACAAGTCGGCGTTTGAGACCGCCAAGGCCAACGGCAGTCCTGTCCAGACTCGCACCGCCCTACCTCCCTCGGCTGACTCCGATGCCGCTCCCAAGGCCCAGCAGGCGACACAAGCTCATATGCGTCTCCCTCCTCCTCTCTTTGCAGCCTTCTCTCCCAGCTCGTTTGCCTCGCCCGTTCCTGGTAGTCCAATCCAGCTCATGGCGCCTCCCATGATGCCTATCAATCTCCCTTATGGCACCTACCATCAAGCCTCTCGGTCTTCGCAACCCTCCCGCAAGCCGCAAGCAAGCCCGAAGGGACCGCTGCAGGAGCTCCAGGCAAGGAAGGACGAGAACGAGGCGTCAAAGCAGCAGTCAGGCTCGCAACAGCCTGAAACCAAGGGCCCCAAGATTTCCCCGATCGAGCAGCTCGATTTGACGAAACCTTACGTCGTCAATGGCCAGCTGTTCTATCCGGTACCCAGCGGTAACTTCCCAGCCATGGGCGTTCCAATGGTTGCTGGTATTCCCGGCTTTGCGCCCCTTCACCCACAAGTTACAGGCATGGTGCCTCACCATCTGTCTATGAATCCCATGTTCGGGGGTTTGGGCTTCCCTGGTGCCCCAGGAATGATCCCAGGAATGGTCCCTGGAGCTGCACCACCCGCCGTGCAGCAGCAGCAGCAGCAGCAGCAGCGGGGTCATGTGCAACAGAGCCAAGGTGGTTCTCTCGGTCTTCGGCCACCTTCAGCACCTTCGGGACCACCCATCTCGTCGATCAAGCCAAGCGATATCACAAAAAAGCAGATCGAGTCTCTCAAGGCCAACCTCAAATACCACGAGGACCAGCTGCTCTTCAACAGGCACCAGGTGGATGAAAAGGAGATGGAGAGGATGGTAGAGATGCTCCGCGGTGAAATCAGGTTCTTCGAGACGAAGAAGGAGCGGCAGGTAGCACACGAGCTTCAACACTACCCCAAGCAGGAGTCCAGCTGCGAGAGTGACAAGGCCGATGCCGGTTCTGACTCTCAGCCACCGAGATCCTCCAGCGGTCAGACCTCTCTCCCTGATCAGCAAAAAGTGGCCGCTGCCCTGGAGGGCGCGCGCAAGCCGGGATCGCTCCGCAAGAGGGAGTCGAACCGTATCAGGTCAGGAGAGATCAGCACTCGCACCAACGGGCTCGCCTTTGGCTCCCCTGATCCCAAGTGCGGCGCTGGCGCACCTGAGCCGCTCAGGAGCTCAGTCCTACCCAGTGGCGCTGCCCTGGCTCCCCCGTTCGAGCCTCGCTCAGGGCAAGTTTTCGAGGTGCCGAGGCAGCGGTCGTTGGACGACAGCTTCGCTAGTGTGGTGCTCACGGATGAGGCTCGCAAGGCCTCAATGGAGCGTCTGCTCTCTGCCGGCGCTGGGGCGTGGGATCAGTTCGAGGGCACCGGAAAGCCTGAAAACAATGCGCCGACCACAGCCAGGCCATCCAAGGGTGCCACCAAGAAGCTCGCCACGACCTCGTCCATGTCTTCCCAGGACAAGCCTCGCTACGAGTTGCCTTATCTCATCGGAACGTTGCCCCCTGGAACTGATACCCGCACCGCCCATGACACCGACTACAAGTACCCGCGAGCTCTCACCGATGCAGAGACAAGGGCTCGCTACCTGTATTGGTCCAAGGCCCCTGCAGAGTACCGGGTCGGTCTTCCGAAATACGATGGGCGTAACTTCTACAGGGCATCGCCGCCGGCCACAGATTCAAGCGAGACGGCTATTGACGCCTCCCACACTGGTTCTGCTCAGCGAAATCCCTCGACCTCGACCGACTCCGGTATCTCGTTCAAGAAGCCTGCGGTGACACGCGATCCATTCTGCCCATCCACGCCGAAGAAGCAGACGCCGCAAGCTCAGCCAGTGGTCACCTCGGCCTCTGCCAATATTGCCAACATGACCCGGAAGCATGGCAACTTGAGCATGGGCGAGGTTTCTCTCAACACCGGGGCGAGGCTTCAGGGTCGTACATCCGCCCAGAGTGCCCGGCCTGCCGACGCAGATGTCAAATCAATCGATTGTCTCGACAAGCGGTCTTCGGAGAGGCCTGGGTAAGTCACAATCCGAACACAGCCGACACTTCAAATTGGTGATAGCCTCAAATCTGACACTCCCATGTATCGCAGTGCTCGGCTGCTTCAAGCAATGCTCAAGCGTGGAGCCAACCGTAGCAGCGAAGCGCTCCCAGGTGCCGTCACATCGACCAACGCACATGGCTATGTTCCGCCATTCGGCTTCTCAACCTTCTCCATGGCTCCCCCAACCATGGGTCCCATTGTGGCGCATCCTTCGGGGTCGCCCGCGCTCTCGGCCCCGAGCAAGACCTCGGACAAGAACAGCGGCATACAGGCTACACCCATGGAGAGGCAGGCGGAAAACCGTCCTCCTCTAGGGCAGTCGTCTCTCGAGGAGCAGTTCCGCCGGATGGTATCCGGCGAAACGAAGCAGCAGGCCCAGAGTTCCATCCCTGTGGACGGCAGAACTCAAGATGCCTGGCGATGAACTCGTCGAAGCGTCCACCATGTGCGTCAAGGCCGAGCTCAGAGAGGCATGCATCGACACACAGAACATCTCTCATCATCAGACCGCCGCCACAGGTGCATGCATCGCCAATGCCATATCAACTATACCCCAACATCAGAGTTCCGCCGCCCTCTTTAGCTTTGGCCCTTTCGTCAACGCGAATGGGTGTCATTTTTTCTATACGCCACGCTATCATGACGGCCGAGAAGGACCTGATCAACTGCATGACCCTATCACAGTTACCCAGCATATCCCCATCTGCGACATAGATATATGGCCTTTGTTTTTAACTCGCCCATGTATCGTTTTTTTTTCTTTTTCGGTTTGATTTTGTTTCTTTTCTGTGGACGGGCATGGAGAACTTTTCGTCGTTTTCTGGACCAACAATCTGATAGACGGCAACATCGGGTGTGCGTAATGGAGTGGGAAACTAGATGGACGGGATAGCACTGGCGGTCATGTCATTGCCAGAAGCTCCACATGAAGGGAGTGTTTAAGGACGCGTACAAGGACCAACAGAGTATCTCTCCAAGGATCCTGCAAAGGCACTTGCTCTGATAGTATGTGGCAGAATAGATTTTGCTGTCTCGACGACTAATACAGGACGTGCTGCCTTTACTTTCCAAATTGGTGCCCCCCCTGGCCTGTTCTGCATACGCCCAACTAGCAGAAACAAGTCTGCCAGAGTGTGCCTTGTCCCTCGCCATCAAACCTCCGACGTCATTGAGTATCTCCGACGGAAGTCTGCAGGCGAGAGCGCGAGACTGATAACTAAGTGTCTCGCGCCGGGTTTACTCTTCGCCAGTCGTATACCTCGAAAACCGTGGAGCTAGTGGTTGACGCGGAGATATCCTAGCGGGAACAGGAACAAGAAGACTACGAGGACGGAGATATCCTAGCGGGAACAGGAACAAGAGGACTACGAGGACAAGGAAAATGAACGATGATAGACCCGCGCGAGAGCCTATCACCTAGATCAACAGGAGAGCATGCCTAGGCATGTCAACCTACCTTCTTCCATGAGCAGAACACCAGAAATGGCGTCTGAAAGGCATGATGACATGGCTGCTGTGTCAAGGCCTGAACACTGCACGCCAGCAGCCGCGTCCCCGAGGGAACGCTGGAGATTGGCTCCGGTAGTAGTCTTGTTCGCGGGAAGTATCCCCGGTCAAGAGCTGACTGGTGATGGAGGGCGGACAGACAGATGGCTGTAGGGTCGATGACGGTTAGCATGGGGAGCAAACGGCGCAGAGGCCGGTGCGGGCCAGATCCCAGATCTGGCCTGTCCTGTCCCTCGGCCCTTGCACCACACCATGCCACACAAGGGCAGCATGGTAGTGATGGGAGGGAGAGAGGGTGAAGAGACTTCGGGAGGACCTCCCATGGAGCATTTCACAGCAGCGCGAGCGACAATCCAAAGATGAAGCAAGCGGCTTTTGGAATGTGAAATGGCCATTGAGCAACAACGTGACTCGATTGTTTTTGTTCCTTCCTTCCCACCATGCCGAGAGTAGTTAAAAAGACGTTGGTTCCTGTGTTCCATTTTTTCCCCTTCCAGTTCGCCATTTGCCGAAAACCGAGAGAAGAAAGCCGAGCCGTCGAACTCCTCGTCTCAAGGGCGGCGGACATAGGGTGTGTGGGTATATCTCGCCGTTTCCCGAGGACGCCAAAGCCAATGGGAGCCGATGCCGCCATTCCCTTTTCAGGGTTGCCCATCGTGTCGTCATTCCATTTCGTGATGGAGTAGAAGGACCCAAGGACTGCTGGCTTTGTGTGTGTGGTTGGTGGTGTGTGCATGCGTGTCGTCATCGGGGGCCCCAAGAAAAAGAAAAAGGAGAAGATTTTGGTTGAGTTCGTCGCTTAAGCCTTGCCGCGGGCCTTGGCCGAGGCCTCGCGGCCGCCCTTGATGCGCTCCAGGATGCTCTCGCGGTCCTTATCGAGCTTGAGCTTGGTGATGACGACGTTGCTGGGGTGGATGCCCAGGGGCACCGAGGCGCCGGTGGCCTTGTCGCGGGTGACGCGCTCAATGTGGATGACGTACTTGAGGCGGTAGACTGACGTGACCTTGCCCTCCTTGTCCTTGTTGGTGCCGCGGACGATGGTGACCTCGTCGTCCTTGCGGATGGGGATGCTGCGGACCTGTTTTTTTTTTTTTTTCGAGCGGGGAAGAAGTCAGCAAGATGCAAAATGACAAAGGATTGAAGAGTAGAGTAACGGCAACCTACGTTGTACTTCTCGCGCAGCTCCTTGCTCAGAGGGGCGCTCATGATGTTGCGGCGGATGCTCGAGGGAGCACCGAAGTGCGCCTTGCGCGACTTGCGCCTCGAGGAGTGGAGGGCTGCCGTCGGATGGTCAGCTCGACTGCTCATGCAGAATATCTAGCGACGGATTGCGCAGGATCTCTCGACTTACTCTTGTTAACCTTGGTCATTTTGGCGGTGCTGAGGGAACCTGCTGTTGGGGGTTAGAAGAGGCTGGCTGGCTGGCTGAAGAGTTGTCGAGGGAGAAAGGCGGGAAGGAAAAAAAACGATGGGGAAAAAAAAAGACATGAGAAAAAAAGGCTCTGCTGTGTGGGCCAAAACCCTAGCGAGCCCTCAAAACGGGGTTGGGCATGTTCGGTTATGTAAGCGATCATGCTTGGTGAAGCTCGTCACGTGAGATGGCAACTTCTTTATCGCATTCCAGGCGGCTGGTGTAATTCGATTGGCCAAATTGCAGGGACTCAACGGCCAGAGAGAGGCCTGGCAATCCCTGCTCTCGCAGTGCACCGCCATTTCCACACAGCATCACAAATATCCATGTGCTCGCCATGCTTGCTCAAGAGTCGGTCTGATTCACAAAATCCAATTCCTGACGTTGGTCTAATTAACATAAAATCGTGCTTCGATACTCGTCTGCTCTCCTCAATCCCCATCACCAACACTCATCGCGCCACGCCTCGCGTCTCATCAGCGTCGCGCCCCAAACCAGCCTCGGCACACCCCGACCTCTAGTACTTCCTGTAGTGGGTCGAGTCGGGGAATCTGATGGCGGGCTCGGCCTCGGCCTCCCTCTTGCTGTGCTTGATGTTCAGCCTGTCGAGCAGGCCCAGGACCGGGTCGGCCTCGCGCTTGGTAGCCGGGGCGGCGGCCACGTCGAGGTCGGCACACTGGTCGTCCCGCTTGTAGTGCACCGACTCGTTGAAGAGGATGGCTGGCTCGGCCTCGGGCTCAGCCTTGGCCTCGCGCTTGTAGTGCACCGAGTCGAGGAAGCTGATGGTCGGCTCCCGGGCCTCGACCTCGGCGTCCCTCCTGTCGGTGTTGGGGGCGGTGATGGCGGCCGCGGCCGCGGCGCCGGCGAGGGTCAGGATGGCGAGGACCTTCATCGTTGCGAGGGCGCGTGTGCTTTGGGGGACAAGATCCGTGAATAGGCGGGGACTCTTGGACGGAAGAGTGATTTGCGGACTCGGAAAGTGGAACAAACAGACTCGGCGAGAAACCGTCAGCTCTGCTAGCCAAGCTACCATCTGTTGCCGCCCCTTTATATACGCTCAAGTGCTCTACCGCTTCCCCAGCTCCTGCCATCTCCGAGATCCGCCGTGGCGTGGCGACGCCAGGGGGAAACGTCGGACCGGTGGAGAATACGCAATCGAATTCGCATTTCGCCGCGTCCGCATGATCAAATATCATTCTAGCCCCTTATATCTGCCCTTCTCAATGCCTACGGGGATCCCCCCTCGAACGGGGGGGCTGGTGGGGGCTTGTGATATCGAGATATTCGCCTGTGGTTCATGGGAGGGCGGGTGACAGACGCAGTGCCCGATTCGTGAACTTCTCCCCCCTGTCCCCTCCTTCACTGCCATATCTTCCACAAATCAAATCACCCCGGCATGCATGGTGGGTCTGCCTCCGTCCAGGCAAGGGGGCAGAACAAACAAGCTTTCACGGCGGTGGCGAGCCAGGGAGACCCCGGACAAGGTTTTGCGGGTGGATGGTGTGTCAGTCGGTGTGGCCCGAAGGTCCTGAGTGCGTGGAAGGCAGACAGGAAGACAAAAAGGAAGAGAAAAGGAAGAAAAACCATCGGATCAGGAGGGCGGACGGTGAAGACGGGATGGGGGTGGAGAAAGTATAATATGGTAGGTGGCCAAGCCCTCGGGAAAGCACAAGGTTGGACGCGCGCAGAGCCTCTCCCGAGATCCGATAGCATCTTGGCGACCATTCCAGCCGCCCCCCAGCTCCCGCCTTGGCACGCCGCGTTCTGACATGATGGAGCTGCAGCGGCGAGGCACCGATCAAGAAGACGTCGAATCGGCAGCCTTCCTGGCGCCGAGAAAGAGGAGGACCCTGCACGGCAGGCCGCCCCGAGAGGAGGAGCACGGACGGCATGCGTCGTCGTCGGCCAAGCTTCCGGGCCTCTTGTTCGCCGCGAGCTGGGTGGTGTTCCTGGCCGCGGTCTGGGTTCACAGGCTGCCCTTGTCCGACAAGCGGTGCGTGAGGCAGCTGAACGTACCGTGTAAGAAGTCCAACTAATACTTTCTTTTTTGTTTACAACGATCTCGGGCTCATCAGATTGAAAAATCAGCACCGTTACATGACGTGATCGAGTTTGAAGACGTCCAGTTCGACAACGCATTCCACAAACCCAGCCCCTACAAGGGCAGGCCGACCAAGGAGTTGGAGGAGAGGTGGAAGGACCTCTGGTACTGTATGTCTCCGACTTCCTCATCCAATGACCTATACCTAGCAGTGCAAAAATAAGGGACAAGGGAGAAAATAAAAACCCACTGACTCCCTCACGAAAAGACGGCTCCTTCGACCTCCCCGACTCGGCCCTCCCAGGCCTGCGCAAGCCCCCCGGCGGCACCGGCGGCCACCCGTGGGCGCGTACCGCTTCGGGAGGCCTGCTCGCCGGGCTCGAGGTCTTTCACAACCTGCACTGCCTCAACCTGGTGCGGCAGTACGTCCACCGGTCCGAGTGGGACTACTCGACCGACCCCGGCTTCTCCGGGACCGAGCAGCAGATTCTTGATGTGAGCAAGCCATCTACCTGGCACTTTACATCCGTAGTTTATGTCAAGAGGAGAATCCGGCGCTCACACGATAGGAAATAGCACGTCGACCACTGCATCGAGGCCCTCCGCATCCGCCTCATGTGCAGCGCCGACGTCACGCCCTTCCTGCACCTCAACACGTCCGACAAGGGCGTCCAGCCCGACTTTGACACCCAGCACCGCTGCCCGCGGTACGGCAACATTGTCGACTGGGCAAAGCAGCACCAGATCATGCGGAACCACGATTCATCTAAGCAAGCAGGACATGGCTGAACAAGCTTTTTTTTTTTTTTTTGCCACGCTGATGAAAGTACGAGCATATGCATGACCTCCGGCTTCTGTCCTCCCTTATCCGCCTGTGGGCCTCTGCTACTCGTTGGGCCTCCTCCAGCAGCCCTCGCCAGAAAAGATAAGTGCACTTCTCTACTCCGAGGTTTGCAATGCTGTGTCTGAATACCTCGAAAGCCGGTACTTGCGTGAAGGTGGAAAATGCGACCGCGTGTTGAAAAAAAAAACCCCGTCAGATCGGGCTCGGCATTGTGAAAGGAGGCCCCTGGCGATCGTGATGATTACGTTCTCGCCAACCTTGAAGTACAGCTCCTCTATAGACAACCCCCTGACCACGAGAGACATCGAGCCGAACTTGCTCGCACCCCTACGTTGCATCATGTCCATGAGCTGTCTTGTGGAACTTCTCACCCTGGACCAGGTACGTGTCAATATGCGGATAGTAGGTGACCTTGTCGACACCGTAGCGGCCAGCGCGCTCGAATATGGAATTAGCAGCCCTCTCATGACCCCGCATCCACGCGTTGGGGAAGGCATCTGAGTAGTCCGCCGGGGTGGAGGTTCTTGATGTTTGCTGACGGTGGCATTTGCATAATGCGTCCAGCCCGTCATGAGAGTCAAATCGGCCAAAATGTTGGACCAGGCGTGAGGCTCCTCGGCAACACCGACAGTGGTATCCGCGTTGGTATTGCACAGTAGCAAGTTCAACATCTCTTACTGGTGCATGCGCGCAGCCCAGCAAACCGGCGAGTAGTACCGACCCCTTCGACTTGCCGGCTCGGACTGCGGGAAGACCTTGACGCCCAAGTCAAGGATAATTTCCACGGCCTGCCGACAATTTGCCTGCATAGACCAGACAAGAGGAGTTCCATCCGTGTGCCCGTGCCGGCCGTCCAGTCCGGCGCCTCTATAGGAGAGTTCGGAAGAGCTACAGCCCCAGGCCTCCGGGCTTGCACCAGCGGAAATCAGCCGGCGAACCATGTTCCGCATGTCTTCGGAATCAGAGGAGCTGAGAAAGCGTAGTGGCCCCCATCCGCCGTCGTCCAACAGTGCCGCAGAGGCGCCGCCTTTGAGGAGCAGGCGAGCAATATCGCAGTGTCCCGACTGACAGACTCCTATCAATGGCGTCTCATCTATAAACGGGGTATTCACGGCCTCGGGATACACAGAAAGCCATCTTCCGAGGCCCGCCTCTTTACCCCGTTATCGAGAGGTACCACGGCGTGGTTGATTCGATCCGGCTGATGGATTCTATCTCTTGGTGTATTCGAGCTAGCTAATGACATGGCTATATTCTTTCAGATGCTAGTTCTCCAATCCGATACCGGCATAGTCCTGCCGTAGGATGCGCAAAGTCTGGCAAATAAGCGTGTGGCGGTTCACCGAGTGACTAAACCAGGCAGCCAGGGAAGGACCTGCCCCAGCCACGTGCCCCAGCCCGCCGTGAGCCCCAGAAACGCGACTCGATAACATCTCCCATCTCCATCGACACCAACTTTGGCGAGGCCGTACCATCATGCGAACACCGAAAATGCCACCTACACGAACACCAAAACGCTGCGATCGAATAAATCCCGTCTTCAAAGCGGCCGTCGAGCGCGCCGCGGGGAAGCTCCCACCGATAACGGACAGTGGGACGCTCTCATTTCGCATCACTCAGCATCTGCCGCACCAGAGGCCTGACGACAGACCAGAACAGACGCCCGACGACAGACCAGACCACCAGCAAAAAGTCGTATGGATCAAAACCCTTTCGGTAGAGACCATCGAGACATTCGAATGTGCATCGGACGGGTGGCTTGAATGCATGAGTGCCTGCCTACAGAACCTGAATTGGACTAGCTCAACCGCCGCCATCTCGAGCGTTTGCTGTCTCGGCATCCCCACGTAAGGGCTGACCGCCTACTATCCAGATTACATATGCTCCTAACACATGAGATTGTACACAGCAAGCAATCGTTCATCCTGGACGGCGTGTCCGTACGATATGCACTTTATACGAAGAAGAAGCCGACCCGCTTCGCTTTCATGGAGCTTCCTCAGGCCAAAGCAAGCGGTGGGTGTGAGCGTTATGCTGCAGCGGTCGCTCTCATGCTCAACTCTCTACCATCTCGCGTCGTCGTTATTGCGACGGGACAGGGTAGCGACTGGGTTGAAATGCTCTGCCATGATCAGGCCGCAACCCCAGAGACGGACCAGACCAAGAGAGAGCTAGGCTCCGGACCCGTGCAAAGCGAGCTGATCCCGATATACCGATATCACTTCGACTTTGACGACGACCTATGGGACGCAAAGATGCGGGGCGTCATCCAGGTCCTCACCAAGGGGTCCGCGAGAAAGGAACACACCGTCAACTCCACCGGGGGTCGTCTTTTGGTCCACCCGCCACCAAGCAGCATTGCAAGCCCCGAAACGTGACGCATCCGCAGGGTCTCACGGGAACAGGAGAAGCACAAAGGACTTCAGGCCTAGGCTCGCTTATACGTGAAGTGGGTGGACTGCCTCGAGTAGGAGCTGGCGAGTGAGCAACATAGGAAGCAATATGTTTTGTTCATGCAATGAGCAGTCTGGGTTAGGAGATATTACGTCGCACTTACGGGCACCCCTCCTCTTCTCCGCAGCAGACCCTTCTCTCTGTCTCTTCGCCAACAATAACAGCCCGCTTATCTCTGCCGGATCGCCTTGTTTCTTGATGAGCCAATAGGATTGAGGGATCCTCCCCTCCCCTCTTCTTCGCGGTGCGCCAACTTGGCGAGCGTGCTGGCGAGTCGGGCTTCCGGTGCTAATGAAGCCCGTTCTCAGAGGCTGGTCATGAACTAATAGTCCGTTGGATATTGTTAGTCGAGATACCCAGGCGCTAAGGGGTAGTCGGTAACAGTCGCAAGTCAGGCCTACAATCACCAGATAACACAAGTACATCCATCATCAGGCGCACTGGAGAAGACGGGAAAGAGTGATTGTGATTCTTGAAACACATCCCTCATGAGCGTCCCGTGGTAACATATGCTACATGGCGTCCTCGATTCTCACCTCGCCGAGAAACGGGGGACTACCCAGCCTTGAGGATCCCGACGCAAAGCCAAAAAGTACGAAAGACATATAAAATTCAGATAGATAGATATGCAGTTCTACACAGATTCCCAAGAAAAACAATAGAGCGTGGTTGGGACGGAACAAAAAAAAATCAACCCAAGAACTCCTTCAACTCCTCAGATTCCTCTATTATCTGAGAGAAGGAGAAGGGCGCAAACGGCCAGCCGGCGAACTCGGCAAACTTGGAGAACGATTCGACCCAAGCGAGACGGAGAGCTTAAGGCAAAGGTTTGGTTGGTCAGTCGGACAGCTTCACCTAAAAGCGTTGGGGAGGGCAAAGATGGTTTGGATGAAGACTCACAATGCAACATGGCAGACACGCCCTCCATGATGATCAGAATGATAACGCTGAGACAGAAGAACATGGCAAACGAGATAAAGATGGCAATGGCGCCCACCAAGCCCGTCATTTTGAGAGTGGGGGCGAGCGTCATGGACCAGAGCACCGAACTGAGCTGCTGGTGAGCCAGCGACAGCGCCCAGAGACGCAGGTACGAGGCCGTGTGCGACACGCAGTTGAGGCAGAACTCGATCGTGTGGATGACCTGGTGGATCATGACCTCGCCAAACTCGAATTCCTCGTGATCGCCGTCACCGTGCAGATCCTGCGTGATCATGGCCACGCCCGCATCGCTGTCGAGGCTGTGGCGGTTGCCGTTTCCGGGCCGCCCCGCATCGTCATTGTCGTCTCCGTCGAGGGCGCTGACGTGCGAGTGCTCGCCGATACCGCGGTAGCCCTTCGCACGTGCCTGGTTGTGCTCCCAGCGCAGGTAAAAGGGCTTGAGGAACAGCAGGACAGGGACCTGCACGAACGCGAATAGCAGCAGAAAGACCTGCACACCCGCCTGGCCCGGGTACAGCTCCATCCCCTCCTCGATCTTGCCCGGCTGCAGGAACATGTAGATCAGCATGTTGAGCAGGCCAGGAGGGTTGCGTCCGGTGCCGGCCCAGTCGACGGTCCACTTGTAGATGATGCAGAGAACCAGGTAGCCAAAGATTGACTGGAAGAATATCATGCCGGGGATGAAGTTGCCCCAGATGTCGATCGACTTCTTGAAGTGGCGCGCGTTGATGTACGAGAAGCAGAGCGAGTACGTCATGTGCGCCCAGCCCATGATGATACTCATCTTCATCTTGTAGCTGTTGCTGAAGAGTAGGTCGTTCTCGGACCCATGCCACATGGGGTCGAGGCCGAACGGGTAGCGGTACGAGCCCTTGAGCGAGGCCGTCACGGCCTGGCCCTCCGTCCAGCCCTCGGGGACGTCCCACTTCCAGGCGCTATCCCAGAGCGTCATGGACTTGGAGAAGATGTCGTTGTACACGAGACCGGTGAAGACGGAGAAGACAGCCATGACAAGCGCAATGTAGCGGCCGTAGTAGACCATGGCGAACAGCTCAAAGGTCACCTTCTTAAGCGGCTTCTCCCAATAGATCATGGCGATGGCAGCGCAGAGCATGATGACGGCGTGACCCAGGTCGCCAAACATGACGGCAAAGAGGAAGGGGAAGGTGACAATGACGGGCAGGGCCGGGTTTACCTCCTGGTACGTGGCAGTGCCGTAGGCGTTGACGATGGTCTGGAAGGCCTCGGTGAACTTGTTGGTCTTCAGATAGGTGGGCGGCGTCCTGTTGGTCTTGATCTCATTGATGATGGAGGGGACCGACAGGCCGGCGCGGCTGGTGACGTCCTGCAGCGTCGTGCGGATCAGGGGCAGGTCGTTGCGGGGGCACCAGCCCTCAGCGATGAGGGTGCGGCGGGCGCGGTCGTACGAGAAGAGGTTGAGCGTGTTGTACACGGCCTTCTCCTTGCCGATGAGCACCATCCAGGCGGCTAGCGACTGCGAGATCTGCGTGAGCTCGGCATCGAGCGTCTGCTGCGTGTTGCGCAGCACGTTCTGCACGTCATCGAGGCGCGCGTTGACCTCGAAGACCTGGTCGCGGCGCAGGTCGCTGTTCTCGTCGACGCTGTAGACCTCGGCGCCCATCGACTCGGAGATCTTGCGCACCTTTGCCAGGATCTCCTTGCCGTGGGCGAAGATGACGAAGACGTTCTTGTGCACCGGCTCGTTGTTGCTGGGGTCGACGAGCGGCTCGGGGATCTCGGACTGGTTCATGTACAGGTTGCCGCGCAGGGTGCGCCACAGGATGCGCTCAAAGGCTGCGACGCGCTCGCGGGGGATGACGCCGGCCACGAAGCCGATGTTCATGCCCGAGAAGGACCGCTCGACCTCGGAGGCCTGGTTGTGCTGCTCGACGTCCTGCAGCAGCGGCGCGTCGTCGTCCTCGGTCGAGGCCCGGATCTCCTCGACGTTGCCGTGCGCGCGGTCGAAGAAGCCGCCGGCCTCGCGCAGCACCCAGCGCCATTCGGTCAGCTCGACCTCGCGCTTCTTAAGTGTCTCGTAGCTGTCGTTGAGCTGTGAGATGCGCGCCTCGAGGCCCTGGCTGCGGTCGGCCAGCTCGTCGATCTCGGCCGTGCTCGGGGGTGGAATCGACTCGGCGTCGAGGTCGAGCTTCCGCAGCGGGATGCCGGCCTTTTCCATCTGCGCGTGGAAGTAGCCTGCATGATGCACGCCCGAGTCAGTTTAGATGCAGCGCCGGCCGAGGCGCGTGTGGCCCGGCAACCCGAGGTCGGGCTTCTTACGGAGCTGGCGTTCGACATTGTCTAGCCGTCGGATTTCTCGGGTGAAGGCCCTTTGGAAGGCACTGAGGTCATCGTTGAGCTGGATTGGGGTGTTAGCGGTCTGACGACAGGGCTAGGGGGCAGACGCGGACATACATCGCGGAATTGAACGAGGCCGACCTCGCCGAGCGCGTTGACAACTTCTCTGCCGATTTCATTGGAGATGTACAGCTGGACCATGCTCATGTCCGCCGAGCGGAATGGAGTATCGCCCGCCGAAGCCATCGTGATGGTTGATGAAGCGCGGCTGCGTTGTTGGGATTGTTGGTCAATTGAAGTTGGCTCAGAGCTCAACCTCGGAGTTGTTCTTGCCTTGGAAGCCGGAAGGTCGTGGCGGGAGCGATTCATTGGTGCCTGAGGCAATTAGTGGAGCAGGTGGCTGAGCACACCCTGCCGGTTCCTGCTTGAGCCACAGTATCGTCACTAATTCTGTCGGCTTTCGGCAGCCTTCGGCGTCCTAAAATAGCCTAAAGGTCCGAGCTCCACAACGACAAGTTTTCTCCGTTTATGCAAGCTCAAGAACGAGCCGCAGGTTGGCGTTGCATCACGACCACGCCTCCACTACTCCTCAACTGGTGTGGAAATGTAGTCCTGATAAGTAGGTACCTACATAGTTACATATACAGCCGCTACATCGCGGGCGATCAGAGTGTGTTCATGAATGTCCTGCGGGTGATTTAAATTTAGATGCTATTGAAAGGCACTGTACTACTAGGGCTAAACATCGATGTCGCAAGCCCGAGAGGAACAACTGCATGAAAGCCATCGCCGATTCGAGATAAAGTCATGGTAGAAAGTAAAGCCTAGAAAGGGTATACGCTTATTCTTGTCTTAAAGCTGATTGATGCCCTCTCCCGTTCACGAATGGTGCCGAAGGTGCTGCAACGCTCAATAAACCCAACGTGATTTTCCCGAATCATCCCAACTTTTAAAACCGCTCAGGGCTCCTCAACAAGGAGAGTGGTCGCGTAGCAAAACTCCATGGGGATGCAAGATGAGGAAAATGCGGAGAAAGAGAAAAAAGGTGTGAGAAGAAAAGAGGAAAACAGGCAAGAAACCAAAGCATCGTTCTTTCCATGTCCAGGAACGCCAAACCAGAAAGCAATCTCAAGAGATGAGACTTTTCCAACACGCATTAAAAGAGCTTGAAAGGGGAAAGAGAAAGAACCAAAAGGGGTTGAACAAGAAGCGAAATATTGAAACAGAATGCGAGTAGAGACAGGCCCGCGCAAGGCATGCCGACCAGGCTCAGATGGTGCGGCCAAACATGTACGACCCGTACATGCCGCCGACCTCGGCCTTGGCGACGGGCACCTTGCGCATGCCCCAGTAGCGGGCGCCCATCTTCCAGTGGCGCGCGCCGTTGTCGTCCTCGTTGTCGCCGCCCTCGCGCACCAGCCACGACCGGACGTGGATCTCGGACACGCGCCAGCGGTAGCGCGCCAGCGCCCCCGTCGACTTGCGCACCTTCTTGAACACGTCGGCCGAGAACTCGACCACGCCCAGCGGCTCCGTCACCGACTGCAGCAGCACCGAGTCGTTGAAGAGCGTCGACGCGTCCAGCTCGCCACCCCACATGTCCGACAGGTCCAGATACCGCACCGTGTGCGGCACCCACGCCAGCTGCGCCGCGATCTCGGCGTCCTCGCCCGTCATGTCCACGTCCCCGTCCGACCCGGGCGTCCCCGGCCGGGCCTGCGGGATGAAGAGGCGCTGCACGTCGCGCAGCTTGAGCGACCGGCCGAGCGCCAGCTCCTCGAGGTGCTTGGTCAGCGGCAGGAGCAGGTCGATGTGCGATGCGTTCATCTTGCTGCCCTTGAGGCTTAGCGACTTGAGCGTCTTGGGCAGGATCGGGATCAGCTCGTTGAGGTGCTGCTCGTCAAATAGCTCGTGGCTCCGCGCGTCCGTCGCCAGGCTCAGGAACTCGAGGCTTTCGGCGACTGCCGGGTGTGAGCGGATGAACTCGATCACCCTCGGGGCGGACAGGAGCTTGCACTTGGCGAGGTTGAGGTGGGTGATCCGAGCCGTGGCGGGGATGCTCCAGAGCGCATCGTCCGTGATGCGCGTGCCGGCCACGTCCAGGTGCGTCAGCCTCGTGAGCCGTGGCATCAGTGTGTCCAAGACCGTTGCCGGGAGCGTCATGCACTTGTGAAGGGACAGACGCTTGACGGTGAGGGCGACCGGCCAGTCGTCCTTGTTGGACACCACCTCGGCGAATGCCGTCTTGAACAAGGCCGACGAGCAGCCGCAAAAGTCGAGGGCCTGCAGCCTATCGAGCCCAAAGAATAGCTTGCGGAGCACGGCCGCGTCGAGGTCATCGTCGATGTATTCCTGAGCCAAGAACTCCTGCAAGAGCGGGGTGAGCTCGAGGCACTGTCGCAGCGTCTCGGATGTGAGGTTCCTCGCCTGCGATCGCTCAGATGCCGTCGAGAAGAGGGTGGAGGGGTTAAAGTGTGAGAAGTCAATGCGGCGCACGATGGTGCCCAGCGAGGGGTGTGAGTTCACGTGAGAGAGAAACTTCTGGAAGATCCTCGAGTGGGGGATGGTGATCCTGTTGTAGAGCGAGCTCAGTGTCGCGGTGTGGAGCGTCTTGGACGTGAGAAGCAGTGACATCAGGTCGATGTTGCGCCTCTCGAGCCCGTTGGGCGGGATATCCAGCACGAGCAGGTTGATGATGGCAGCTGTCACACGTGCTCCGAGTTAGTCATGGTGTTTTCCTCGCCCTGCCCAAAACACAAACGATCCCCGCAGGTTCACGCCCCACGCCTGAGCGAACCCCATACCTGAGCGCCTTCCGGTCCGAGCAACTCTTACGCGGGGCTCAGGCAAAGCCTGCTGCGCTGCGGCTTACGAAGAACATGTACAAGTAGCAGAGAGGGGGGGTGAAACATACTCAGCAGCTCGACCGGGAGCCTCTCGATGGGTGCATCTCCAGGGCTCCTCGCTCCATTTCGTCGCTTGGGTGTGGGCTGTGGTGTGGGCGTGGCGTGCCAAGCAACGTTGAGCACCTGCAGATCACCAAAGCTCTTGCTGGCAAGCTTTCCCTTGACATTGATCTGCTTCCACCCCTTGAAGCCGTTGGCAGGGAACCAGTTTCCATGGAGCCTGCTTCCGGGCTGGGTGACGGGAGGGAAGTACTGGGCCTCGATCATGTTGCCACGGGCGGCAGAGGACGGGGCGCTGGGTGATTCGTCGTCGTCAACAAGGGCAAGCTCGTCGGCGGGTGCGGTGTAGGATGATACCTTGGAGGCAGTGAAGGTCTGTGCCAGGTCTTCGTCGTTCTCTCTGATGGACGAGAAGGAGGTGCGGCCAGCCCTCTCGGGGCTGGTGTGCCTGGACGAGTCGGTGGCCATGGTTTTGTAGTTGGAAGAGAGCGTGGGCTTCAGACTGCTGGAGCTGGCAACTCCCGCTCCATGCGGGGCCGGGGGCGTTTCCATTGGACGCAAAGAAGGGCACAGCTTTTTTCTTTTTGGTTTGGTAATAATCCCCAGGCCGCTTGTGGAATGGGAACGGTCCCAAGTGGTGCTGCTCAGCGGGCTGGCGGCAGGGGCCCTGGCCTCACTTCCGGAGCAGGGTATGTACCTGGACGGTGGAACACACAGATGGCCGGGACACAGAGGACGAGGATGGAGCTTTGACGTGACAGTTGGCGTGACGGATGGTTGACCTGTTGCAAGCAGGCGCCGGGTGCTCTCGTTTTCTCGTCCGATGTGCGAGGCGGCCAAGGGGGGGTGGAAAGGCAGCCTTTCTATTGAGTAAAATGTTTGTGTTTTTAGGTAATCGTTATGGCCAGGTCATGCGGGGAAGTTGGTGAGGCGATGGAGCCGCGAAGGTGAACCTGTGACACGGGAATCTGGCGTGCTGGCTCTTTGTGTGGTGTCTGGTCCAAGCGAGCGGCGGGTGCCAGCAGCAGACGCAATGCAGAACAGAGGAGTGTAATTTTGCGGCCGGGGAGGGGGTGTGGTGATGGTTGAAGAAAGGCTCCGGGGCTAGGGGAAACTAATAAAAAATAAACGAGGCACCGTGCAAGAGCTTGACGACGCCCAGCGACGGACGAGGGCCCGGGGAGGCGGGTTTGGCCGAGTTTTCTGAGCGGCGTTCACAATGGCTCAGTCCATCGATTGGCAGGGGCTTTGGAACGAGGTACTTTGCCGGGGCAGGCTTGAGGGGTGTGTGTAGCCGAGTCTAGGTGGTTTGGTATGCGATATTGAATGGAATGGGCATCGAAGTTGATGGGTCTGTAAGGCATTGAGGCGCGCGTGTGTGATGTGTGAAATGGGCAATGTGGTATGTGAGCGGGAGCTTGACATGGACAGGGCTCAGTAGCCAATCTAGACGTGCCCTCTGGGGCGTGTTGGTCTCGGATAGGCAGGAACGCTGGACTTTTGGGCTCAAATGCAAACGGCAACGACACGAACGAACGAACGAACGGAAACCAAAAGGACGAACAAAGGGTGCAGCACCTCGTCCTCCACCAGCGCCAGCAGCAGCGGCGGCGGCGGCCTGGCATGCGCCTTTCCGGGCGGAGCCAGAACTCGAGTAAACAGAAAAATCCTTCTTTGGGCGATTGAGTAATGGAAACAAAGAAATGGAGCCGCTTCGCGCATTCTTTCAGGTCAGCTGAGCCCCTTCCCGCCCGCCGAAAAAAAAACATTCGCCCCAGCCATGGGGATCAGGTCAGCACCACCATGACAAATTTGTTGGCACCGCAAAATCAATTTTTTCCTAGTAACTCCACCGCCCTCAATCCAACCCACGCACAACAAAGCCTCACAACGATGTTTACAGAGCTTTCTACGCCTAAAAAAGCACGCGTGCAAGCCGTATGCGATTTCCTTGATACAGAAAAGCGTTCCTACAGTCACAATGCCGTTTTTCGTTGGGCTGGAGTCTCCAAAAGATCCGGCTGGCGTTAGGCTGTTTGGGAAGATAGGTACATCAAGGAACTAGCAGAAGAGGCCTGGAATGGGTTGTCACTTGATTCAATCAACAGGTGGGTTGATTCTGTACCGGATATCCTAGAAAAGATCGTGGATGCGGAGGGCAAGATGACGGCCTACCACAGATAGTAGCCCCTGGGTTGTAGCTCCTTTTTTTGCGG